ATAAATATTGCCTTAGTTCATTCCATTCCCTACAAAAATATATATATATATATATATATATATATATATATATATATACATACATACAGGGTGGGCCAATAAGAGTGAGAACATGTCGTAAAATGTTATTTAATCAAATCAAATTTAGTTTAACTATACCCATAGTAGCTTAAAAAGTTTATTGGTTTACTTACTTACATATTTAGCTATATGACGCCATTATTTCGACTATTTCCGGTCGCCATTTTTTATTTTTAATTTGCCAATTGTTTAAGTCGTCTGCTATTTTAAATTTTTTGCCCAGAATGATAAAAATCACTGCAGAATACCGTATTCTGATTAAAACATTTGTGAATTGAAAAACAGTGGGGCGCTAGGAAAATGACCAACGAGTTTCGAAACAAAGCCTGGAGCATAGCAAGTGTCAGTCGGGTTATCAATAAAATTGACGACGACGATTCAATGGAACGTAAAACAGGAAGTGGTCGACCAAAGACTGTTAGAACACAACAGAACATTGAACGAGTGAGTGAGCTTATTTGCAGTCAAGATGATGATCCTCACAGTCACAAAAGTCTGCGGGAAATAGAAAGAGAAAATGGTATACCATGGTCTTCGGTTTGACGTATTGTAAAGCAAAATTTACAACTTAAAACGTACAAGCGTGTGATCGGGCAGATGATCAATGAAAATGGCAAGTTGAAACGCTTGCAACGCAGTTGGCAGCTACTTGAACGATTTAATAATGAGAGAAGTGTACGAAGCATCTGGTTAACAGACGAAAAAACATTCACCATTGCCACGCCAGGTAATTCTCAAAATGATCGTCTTTATTCCATTGCAACAAAGAAAAAAAAGGTCCAAGAAAGGCGACTTATACAAGAGCGTAACCATTTCAGCCGCGGTATCATGGTTTCAGTTGGTGTGTCTCCAATGGGGAAAACTAGTGTTGTGTTCGTTGAACCAGGCGCCAAAGTAAACAGTGAATATTATTGTGAACAAGTTCTCAGAAGAGGATTGTTGCCTGACATTCAAGCAAAATGTGGTCGCCATAACTGGACATTGCAGCAGGACGGAGCTCCATCTCACACAGCCAGAACTACAATCAACTTTCTTCGTCGGGAGAATATTCACTTCATCGAGCCAGACATGTGGCCACTGAACAGCCCAGATTTAAACCCAGTAGATTATGCCATATGGGGTGCTTTGCAAGAAAAAGTCTACCTTCGGCGAAAATTTACCACAGTTGAGCAGCTCAAGTTGGCAATAATCGAAATCTAGGGCAACGTTTCCTGGACAGAAGTATAAACGAGTGGCGTCAACGCTTGAAAAAAGTCGTTGAGAAGCAAAGAGGATATTAACATAATTAGCTAAATATTTTGCACAAAAAAAAATTCCATGAAGAATTATAATTAATTAAATTATATTTTGAAATAACTCATATGCTACGAGATGTTCTCACTTTTATTGGCCCACCCTGATATATATATATAGTTTTATATTTGTAAAGCCATTTTTAATAATTTTTTTGCGATAGGAGTGCCGAGTTTGTAAAACGGCACAGACACTCCAAAAAGGCTCTGTCTCCAAAGGGTTAAAATTATATTTTTATAATAAATCATGTCTGAGTAAATAATCACACTTAATCATGGTATTCATAGTTGGAAATCATCAAAACAATATAATTTACACTGGCAAAAGGCAATAAGTTGAGCCTACCTGTACATTTGGAGCATAGAATCTATTTAACTCTGAACACTCGGCTATAATACGCTCTGTGTTTTGTTTAATAGCATCAGAACCAATGGGAATTGAATGAACCTGGTACATCAGACAAAGATAACTCATCACAGCATCAGGGCAGGTAAACAAACTTTGCATATACCTCTCAAATCCATACTTGCTAAGAAAAAAGAATGTGAAGTCTATTTGATATCAAATATATTCAAATTCTACTAACGTATGAGGGTTTACATATCCATTAATCATATATAATTATATTAAGTGCTGCAGGTATGTAACAGTTCAAGATATTATATATATAATTCTTAAATTTGCTAAAATTATTTAAGGAAATTTATTTTGTCATAGCAAATCTACAAAAATACAAAGTTTTTGTTTTGGAGGTAAGAACAACATTTTATAACAATGATATAAAAAAAAAAGTTATGACCGGTATATTTTTAAAATGATTTAGTTATTATATTCTTATAAGAACAAAAGTGATGGCATTATGAAGTCTAGCAGTTAGCCATGGTCCTAACTTGCAGATGTAACAGCAGAAAGTATTCATAGTCTTCATGTTCTCATTATGAACATCTTAAAACAAGTTGGTACCGTACAAATTTATATGTATAAAACTATGTGATGCATGCCACACATGGCCTAGGCAGGGAACAACAGAGGCTGCGGGTAAGGTGTGTGGGAGAGGGGAAACATTCACTTTGGCTTTAGTCAGACATTTCTGTAATTTAAAAATATTTATTGAAATTAAGATTTCTCTCTTACTTATAATGGCTTATAGGATATCTTGGTTGAAAGAAGCTGATAGGCTGTGCTGGGGCCCTCACGGCATTGATATTCAGTTTAAGCTTGGTTTTTACTTCCTTCATGAACAGATCCAAATCCTCTGGGTCCTCACAGACAAAAGATCTCAGGTCATTGAAAGAAATGTGAGACTCTACCAGACTGGCATCCTCTGGTTTCATCACATTCAACTAAAGAAATAGTATTAAATCAATTTTATTCTCTCAAAAATGGGTGCCATCAGTTGTTCATCACACCATGACAATAATGTTCATAACTTATTTGAAGATATGATACTGCAGCCTATTTCAGTTCAAATATTTTAACTTGATTACAAATAATAGAAGCTTACAATTTATTTTTAAAATAATTAAATCGAATGTTTTTTCCTTTAAAAAATAATTGTGAACAAAAATAGATGCAAGATGTGACTGAGTGACGCTTCCTAAAGCTTTGAACTAAGTTTAAGAAAAAGGTTAGAATACTTACACTTATTATCATAGGTTCATGGATTGTGTGTTTAAACAATGACTTATTTGCTCGGAGCCACAAAACCGCTTCATGAGTATTAGCATGTAAGGCACGAAGAGTCCCGAGCCGTCTGTTGTTAACATCTTGAATTTTACACAGCTGATTATCACTTTCTAATGAAAGAGAGAAATTAAAAATTGGATCAACATATGGTATTTACTTATAATTAATTCCAGCATTTCTATCCTAGTCTTTAACGTCAGTGCAAATTAAAAGTGTTGGTTTTTAATTTAAACAATTAAAACATAGTGAATGTAACTTAAGAAACATTTTTAATATTTTCTTTAATTATGTAAAAATAAGATTAAAAACTTGCTGTTTTTTGTTTTTTTTTGTGGTGCTTGATGCTTAATAATTCAGTACCTCTAATCTCAGCTTTTATTGCATTAATCTCAGCATATAAAGTTTGGCCGTGTGTCTGCACTGATGTAATTTCAACACTGACATTTCTTATGTCCTCATTTACCTTTTCTATGTTTTTCTGGAGATGAAATTAAGTTACAAAAAGAATGGTGGTGATAAGCAAATCATTAAAGTATGCTAATTAATGGATTTTTTAAAAGATGGATTACATTAACATAAAATTCAAATGTTATCTTATGAAGTCCATAAAACTGACATCATGCAGATGTATGGAAAAAATTATCATGTGTTTGATAATGTTGATGTGTTTTTTAAATGGTAGAATTTTTTTAAGTTAAATAATTGAGACAAAGGATTGAAAGTTAATTCTGGTTTTAGAAAAACGCTTTAAAAACTCAAAGAAAGATAGAAAACATTATTGGACCACCATGTAATGTTTTATTTTAATTGTGTAGCTTGGTGAGTCGCAATGTAACATGACAGCATCAATTTAATCCAACAAACATGACGAGAATAATTACTGACAGCTATTTTGAGAGCATCAGTGCCGTCCATCTGTGCCAAGCCCAATTCAAGGGCTTTCAGTTGTTCTTGAAGATCATTAAGTCTATAACAAAACCAAATTTCATAAGTAAACTAAAGAAAAACTAATGTAAGTTATATTAATGGTAATCAATTTAATGGCATTACAGCCTTTAAAAATAATATTTCATAAGAGAAGAGTGTTAATTACTTTTTCTTTCTTGCTTCTTCATCTTTTAACTTTAAATCAAAATCATTTTGTGCCTCATCTATCTGAAATACAGATATAAAAATATTAATATCAGTGTTACAAAGGAATAAATCACATATTAATTTTTTTTGTCATTTGCTTTTTATTAATAACTATTTATTTGAAACTTCCTAGAGCATAAAATGTACATTTTTTTAAGGAATTAAATTGGGAATTTAATAAACACATTTATTATCCAAAAATATGATAGAAGTAGAATGATTTATTTTTAGAAGATGTGCAGTTTTTTAAATATTTTATTGCTCAAAAAGATAAATTTACCTTTTCTGTTTTATTATTCATTGTCTGACTTTGTTCTGCTAAATCTTTTGCTTTTGACCGGATCTTTTGCGACTGAAAAAATAAAATATTTTACATGGATGGAAGAATTTAATATTTATGACAGGTTTTTATAAATTATTTTAAGCCTTATTTGTTATGGTTTCATGAAACTTCATTTATATGTTAGGTGTTTAAAAATATCTTTAAACTTATTTTTTTTTTTAACTACACCAGTTGAATTTACATAAATTAAATATAATTCAGGAAATATGAATCAGAAAGGTGAAATGTATATAAAATAGAGTTAACCAATCTGTTATAAAAAAACAGATGATATATTTTCTGAGAAGTTTTAGTGTGGTTAATGAAGAATAAAGTACTATTTTTAAATTGAGAATGTTCCAGTTATCTAACTTTTTAAGGTCTTGAACCACATTAAAACATCATGGCAGTACCCTGATTTAAAAGAGATAAAGCATTAATTGTCAAGCCACCAAAAAGGTAAGAATTAATTTTTTTGCAGTTGACTTTTACAAATGTAATTTATCAGGGTTAAATATCTAAAATTCTTACCATTTCTCTTGTATCTTTTTCCAGTTTATCTTTTTCCACTTTGAGGGTCTCAAATTTCTTCTCTAGAGGGAGCAAGTGTTTTTTCTCTTGCTTTAATGCTTCTGTTTTTTTATCTCTTTCTGATTTTCCTCGTTCAAACTGATCCTTTAAGACTTGGTATTCCTGTTGAATAAAGAAAATATGCTTTGAAAATGATAGTTAATAAGTTATGTCATACTAAATTTATGTATTCTAAATAATAAATACCACCATTAATACCCTTTATAACGTGAAATGAAATACAACTGTAGTTGAAATAGAAGGGAACAAACAAATAAAATCATTATATGAAAACTAAAGTAGAATATGATCATACGAAACTAGAACACATATAAATTGTCAAAAACTGGAAATCTAGGCCAGTGGTTTTCAAAGTTGACAGTGTTTGAGTGGTGGGACATGTTGAGCAAAATATAAAGATTTTACACACATTCAGCGGATGCAGAAATAGTTAAGTCTGACTAGTCTCGTGGTGAAAATATCATTGATTGTTAATGGGAGGTTTTCAGTTGAATTTATTTGTGGTTACTGTTTCGATACCTCTCTGATATGCCACATCAAGATATAGTAGAGCAGCAATTTTACGCACTAATTGGGATTGTTGTTTTTCAGGATTTAAGCAAATTAGGATAAGCAAATACTCCCACTGAGATGTTGCACTAAAGCAGTTGGTGCTTAGAATAAAATATATTTTCACCTGGTAGTTTTACATGTATGGTGCTTTATTGTAGTCACTATTGCAGCGTACTATTAACCATACAGCACGGTGTATCAGAGTCAGCTGATTAACGTCAAAAACCAGGAGGACTGGATTTTTTCTTCTGCCAGGTCTTTTCCAAAAATAGTTGACTGGCACTTAGAATAATATCCGAGGTCACTTTTTTTAAGGCATTTATTATGCAATCTATATTACCAGTAAGTTACAAGTTGCAGATCGCATTAACCCAGTCTAAAAACACTGTTCGAAAGGGGTCGGAATTGTTTTCCAGTGTTTGTATGCAGTTGATCCATGACATGTGCCTTGTTTACGGATCCATGACATGTGAATTGAGTACTGATCCATGACATGTGAATTGTGTACTGATCCATGACATGTGCACTGTCAATAATAAGAATTAATAAAGATAGTTGCAGTTCGGATAACCAACGCTTCGTAAACGCTGCGTTTGAAAAAATTGATGCTCTACTGTATGTCTAAACAATTATTTTTACTGAAATTCCAAATGGGGTATAAATCCATTTTCAAATACTAAGGCAGTTGGTGTCCAGAATTTTAAACTAATGTCAAAGTTTAAGAAATTTTAAAGAGCGTTTGGACAAAGATGAAAAATTTCATATTGTTATATAAACCTTACAAATGTTGTTACCGTCCTCCTTGTTGCATTTTTAGCAATGTATTTGTTATGGTCCAACTTTAATCCAATGCAAAAGCAATAAACTCCACATTTCTAAAAATGGTGATTCTACAAAACCAGACATTAAAACATAATAACTATTCACCAAGGCCACGCATAGCAAAGCGAATAATTTATCACTTAAAAGTTCAATTAAAAAGTGTAATATCTAAAAATCTTGCTCAATAATTATTCTAATTTCTTACACTGCGGGTATCACTTGATTAACAAAGCTAAATTGTTATTCTGCTTAAACTTTTAATTATAAATACTTCATTTTATTTTTTGGCTAACTACCTTAGAGGATTGTGTTGACAACTATTCCAAAAATGCTTATAATTGGCCCTAGGTGTGAATAATAGCACCAAGGGAGATGTAGCCAGAACATATTTGAGAACCACTGATCTAAACATTTGAATGAGACTTAGTCAGGAATAAACTAATATTAACCTTTTCAAAACATTATGGTTAATGTTTCCATTTAAAGTGTATTTAATTCAGCTGAAAAAAAATTAATGCAAAATACAAGTATCATTTGAAAGCCATATGTGATTTCCAAAACTGGAACTTTGAGGTTTAAGTCAAGTGGACAAAATAAAATCTAATACTCACCAACCAAGGCTTTTTCATTTTGAGAACTCCAACTTTCTGTAAGAAATTTTTTCTATCATGGAAAGATTTGACATCTTCTTCCAGCCTGGCATTTTTCTGTTTTTCCTGATCCAACTCAGTCCGAAGCTTGCCGACATCTTGTTCTAGAAACCTGGCCTCTTCTCGAGCTCCCTTTAGCTTTTGGTGATTTTCATATAAGTTAGCCTTACCAACCTTTTGAAATATTTAGAAATATTTAGAAATTCGTCAAATGAAAATTTATTATAAATGGAGATCAAACAGAATCAACAAAACAGAATTTAAGTCAACAATCAGTTGGATTCATAATAGTTAACTCTTGTACAATAATTTGGTTAACCAAATATTAAATTAATGTAAGTAAGTTATTTTAAGGTTTAACATCACTGACTAAATGCAATCATTTAAAAACTAACACATCAATGATCTGATAACCACAAATGTTCAAACATACAGCTTTTTCTGTGTTTTCTAGTAATTCCTGTTGTGACATCCGTGCAAAGTCTGCAACCTTCTCTTGAGGTAGAAACTGGCATAAATTTCCAACTTGAATATTTAGACCAGCCACCAGTTCTTCCACCTGCAATAATTTATTTTTTCAATGATCAGAAAACATTTTCCACTAATTTATCAAATTCATGGCAGAATAATTAATTTCTCTCTGTGATAAAATAATAATATCCAAATATTTATCAGGTTTACAGCAGAAGTAAGCCAATAATTAAGCTTCAAGCAGTACTGATTATTTCACTTGACAGCGACAAAATTTAAGAGAACAAAAGTTTTCCTTTAAAACTTACAGCTTTCTGTGTTGTTGTTCTTCCATTTATCCACCAATGAGATGCCTTTTTGTTAATTTCTCTTTTGACATTATAATTACTTTCATCATATGGATTAAATCTGAAATATTAAATAACTGATAAGTTAAAGGTTCACCATTTTTATATATTTTAACATACTAAAGATTCATAATTTTGATATATTTTAACAATACTAAATAACGTAACAAACATACAATTTTTCTTCCACGATTAAAATGTGTCATTACTAAGCAATTATCATTTACTATATACTTTTTACACTAACACAAATAATACTGGAATACATACAGTTCAATTTCAATTGTTGCTTTATCTGCTCCATATCTAATAAAATCTTTGGGGTCACTGGCTCGACCTAGCCAGTTTGTTTTTCCAGCCAAACCCAAACAAATGGCACAAACAACTGCAGACTTGCCAGTGCCATTTGGTCCAATCAAAATATTTAAAAAAGGCCCAGGAGTAACTTCAGTTGAATCATATGTTCTGTGTGGAAAGATAAATTATAAATATATAATTAAAACCTAAACACTTTGATAGCACTGTTATGTTTTGTTTATAAACAGAAGTAATAGTTTTAGTTGATACATTCACATTATTTTTTCCCTTATGTGACTTCACATAGAGAAGGGACCGTGGTAGAGAGAATGAGAGAATCTGCAAAAGTGGAATGAGCTGAAAAGAATCGCTGAGAACAGAGATAAATGGAAAGAATTTCTGAAAGGCCTATGCACTACTAGCAACAAAAAGAAGGAATAAGTGAGTGTAACAACTTACAGCAAATCATATATTTTTAAGTTTATCCAACACACATATAGGCAGACAAGGGTCTTTAAACATAATAATTCAATTACCATTAAAGTTTCAATGAAACTTACATGGCAAACTGGAAGTAATTTTTTACTTACATGTAAGAATTAAATGGTACATTCATTTTTAAAAATAATAATGATAACATTTATAAATTATTGGAAATATTATTATTTTAAAAAACAATTATAATTTTAAAATGAATTTAACTTACAAGAATTTATTTAACTTTATCCGCACTATGGATCCAGCAGAAAATCCAGAACCTTTCTTTGAATGTACTATTGTATTGGATTTATTTATGGAACGAGGTCTTGTATCTTCTAATAGTGAATTTTGGCTATCACGGTCATTAAGAATCTCCTTATACTGGCGCTTTTTTAAAAATGACATGATTTTCCAAGAGCCAAGTTGATAAGCATAAACCTATGGTCCATATAGAGGTCTACTTATATACTGTAGAGTTTTCCGGTAAAATTAATGTTTTAATAGTTGGCAAATTTCATAATAGAAAGAGATACATTTCCTAATTTTCACCATATCCATGTTAGCATGTCTTCAAGTCTGCTAAAACTGAAATATGTATATAAAAAAGACTGATATTAAGAAAAACAATTAAAACAGTTTCATACCTTAAAGTAAATAAATCAATTAGTTATTATTAATTATTGTTGAATAATATGCATGTCTAACTAAACTACACCTAGACTTATAACTAATATTCAAATTCATTAAGAGATGGGTCTAGACAAGGGGTCATCAAATTACAGCACAAGGCCTGATCTTGCCCAATAAGGGTCCCTAACCTGGCCAAACTAGCCACCATAAAGATACCCAGGTAGCAAAGACAAATATGGAACCAGACATTCATCAGCTTTTTAGTCAAAAGCAGACCCATACTTTTCACTTAAATTCATCAATATTTTTTTTTTTAAACTATGGTCCAGCCCCAACAGTGTCTGAGGGACAGTGAATGTTTAAAACATTTGAGGACCCCTGGCCTAGACCCTTAAAGTGTAAATTATTTTATTAATGTATCATCTTAGGAGTCACTATCAACCAAACCAAACAGAGTTATGTAGGACACTTATTTATTTATTTTATATGCTTAGGACTAGATTAATAATATTTGTATTCCACAGCCATCCGATACATCATTGTAACTTTTAATTTTAATTTCCCTACTACAATGAAAACATCTGTGTGAAAATACTAACAAATGGTTGGTTTAAAAAACAGAAAATTATTTCAAAATGTCCAAATTAGGATCTTTTAGTATTTTTTGTTTATACATGATGATAATACATTAATTTAAATTCTTAACATCTTTATACTTTAAAAATGTTGTCTTACTTCTAGTGACTCTACAGACAGTTATTAATATGTAAATGTACAATTACACTTTACAATACAATTAGAAAGTCATTTTAAAAAATGATAATAAATAACTGATCAAATAGCACGATAGCTTCTAGTTAGGGCAGGGAGCTATTTGTAGTAAACTACCAATAGCTTCTTGAGAGCTATTAGTAGTCCAGCCAATCAAATCAGACGAGAATCTGTACTGTTTTAAAGTTTTAACACTATCTGTGTGGCAATCCCCGTAACAGATTTGGCAATATTGCTATATAATTTATTATAAAGACCTAATAGATGTATGATACGGGGGAAGGGGATCATAGTCTGAAAAAAATGTTACCCGGTTACCCAGCTTCTCCTTTGCCAAGGCCAAAGTAAGATGTGCAGTAAAAATAAAATCCATTGTAAACATTTTGTGTGTGCTAATTATTATGATTAAAATTATAAATTAAAATACAGACCTAAATAATTACCAAAAGAAGTTTTACTGCATACAAATGAATGTGTGCATATTAAAAACATAATATTGTTACTTTAGTTTAATAAAACTGTATAATAACGTGATTAGGCTTAACCTAACGATGATAAATAAGTTTAGGCCAAACATTGTTTAGGAACATGGTCACATAAACCAACACCATCCTGCTTTGATTTTCTGTTGTTGGGAGAAATGTCTACTGAGTGTTATTTACTTTAATGAGCACTAATTAACTTATTAAGGCATTGATATTTTTTATTTACAATTGAACAATTACATTGGGTATATTGTGCAACAATAACACAAATTAATCAATTTAATGTCTAGGAATCACTATTTACAATTTATTTTTTAACGCTATGCAGAGTATGCAGAATCAATGTTTTAAAATTAAAATGCACATAATTTTGATGAAAACATAAGCAGTGATGCATAAATAAAATAAAATATATACAAGGAAAGAAAAATAAGTGTATTATTAGTATTATGTCTTGAAAATCCGATTGGAGTGAATTTATGAGACTAAACACAAACAATAAATTTTTGTTGGCACATGTTTTTGGCTAATCCTAGTTACGATTACCACGACTTATTTTCCAGGGAGTGACTTCCCTTTGTTTATTTTTACTAAATTATTTTAGGGATCGATTTAGGGTTCAGATTAGGCATAGTCATAGGGATCGATTTAGGGTTCAGGTTGGGCTAGGCATAGGTCATAGGGATAGATTTAGGGTTCAGGTTAGCCTTTAGGCATAGTATAGGGATCGATTTAGGATACACTCGAAATTCGATAAAATAGTGGCAGTCATCCCCATTTTTCACCCAGTGTTGTAATCAAAAATAAATTGTGACCACCAATAATTATTGCACTTCATCCAATATATCACCAATTGGTAGTTTTTTTATAGTAAACTACCAATAGCCGCTTAGAAGCTACTGGTAGTGGAGTACCAATAGCTCTCTTGATCTCTAGAAGCTACTACAAATAGCTCCCTGCTAGAACTAGAAGCTATTGAACTATTGGTAGTTAACTATCAATAGCCACAGCCATGTCATAATTTGTATGATTTTTCAATTTTGGGGTCTAGCATTAGCGGGGTTTACCGGGAATGACAATCGCTGTGTGTGACAAAGCCCAAACTCAAACATTTGGCACCCGTGCCGTAGATTGTCGATACTTGACCAGCACTAGTCTATTTCATTTAAATTTTCGGTAAATAAGGAATAGCCAAATTTCTTAGAATAATGAATAATGTACATATTAAATTTATTTTCATCCGAATCTTTTAAAATTAGAATCCCACACAATATTACCTTTCAAAATGAAAACAAGAAAACTTAAAATGAATAATCAGGAAATTAATACAATATATAAATGTATGATGCAAAAAAGGAGCGAATTAATTTTTATTTTAACCGTAGCTTTAGTTTAAAATAAGATTTCACCCCAGTAATAATGGAAATATTGCACTAAATGTACACGCTATTGCAAAAACTTACTAATATATATGTTACGGTATTTTATTCATTTCTACACTCTCCAAAATATTTAAACCAAGAAACCCAAATCTAAAAGCTCATTTTCTCCCTGCCCCTGCCCTGTACTGTGTAACTTAATCATCGGAATAATCGAGTTTTGATAATGAATTGTTGTCAAAAAATGTATAGTTCTAAAATCTTTTCCACAACAGTGAAAATTATGTTAGGGAAATAGTAACAAACATATTTTCTTATTTTTAAAAAAATTATAGTATAGAAATGTTCAAGTTTGTAACATTTTGGGGTTTTGATTTATGGCCTTGGTCTTCTCTTATAAAGCACCAGATACTATTCTTTTTAAAACTGTTAAAAATGACAATTTAGTCATTTTTAATTTTAAAAATACACTATCGTTCTATTGTTTTTACCCATTTTGCTCGTGGGGTGCACTTTACCTTCCCCGCTGCCCCGGAGAGATGCTGAAAGAAACCCTGCTTGCAGTCTCTTAAGATTAAATAGCCCACCGATCTGCCTGTACCTTACAAGAATGCCTTTTTAGATATATTCGAGAGCACAATTTTGATTTAATATATATATTTTAAGTAAAGAGGTGGGTTTTTTTTTCTTTTTGCTTGCTGTCATCAAATAAGAGTCGAGCGCAACATCATCTAATATCTTACCACGTACGTTGTCAGTCGTTGAAGAGAGAAAATACCTTTTATATAACTTATAAACAGATATTCCAGTGGCGATTACCACAATACATTTACGTTTGCAACTGCAACACAGTTTTAAAATATTTTTTTTAAAAAGCCAAAGTGTTAAATATCCAACCGTTTGTTTACTAAAGACTAAAGTTAAACGTATCAGTAATGGTTAAATTTCAGCCGACGCTCTCGGTGATTGACGCTCTATGTGAAGAACAATGCCGATTGTCGATTATACCGTTTCATGCAGACGCCCATTGGTACAAATACTTCTCAATGGCGCTAACTGAAAAGATACCATAAACAACATTGCTTATCAGAAATCAGGGGGGGGGGGGTCATTTCAGATTGTTTCAGGGGAGGGG